GCACATTTAATAAATATCAAGTAAAGTAAACTTTTCATCAAACATCTAACACATAATTTACTATTAAATTTTGGATCTAATTTTAAGCATTTTCATTTGAAGTGGCCTTTTCTAGTGAGTCTCACTCAGATAACAAAGGCTACTTAGATAGTACTTTATTGACAAATGTATTTTCCTAAGAGGCAGATTGATCTTTTCTCCTAAAACTTTTTTTTTCTGTGAAGAGAAAAAAAGCCACATATTGTTTTATTAAGAAAAGGTTTGTTAGCGAAAGTGGTGAATTAACAGGACATGCTCTATACATAATTGTTCCATCGGTGTAATGCTACCAACTACTCTTAGAACCCGCAGAAGCTATGGATTTAGCAAATTAATTCTATCATATGTGTGCTCTAATGATATATGCTATTCTTAACCATTCATCTCCATGATAGTAAAACAAAAGATATTAGTAAGAAAGAAGAATAAGTGGTACCAACATTTGCTCTAAAAGGACAACCAACTTAAGCCTAGCTTACATGTCTAGGCCAAGAATGTAACACATGAGATGAATAAACATTTCTTAATTGAGTTGAATTCTCTCCCTTCAACTTTTTCCTTGCCCCTTATTAATTGTGTGTCCTTGGGAGAATTTACATAGCTTCTTTAGCCCTGGATTTGTCATCTATTAACTGGAGATAATAATAGCTCTTACCTCAAGGTGTTGTTGAAAACTAAATGAGAAAGTTAAGTTAAACTTTGTAAGCTAGTGCCCAGCACATAGCAAAAGCTCAGTAAATATTAGTTAACAGTACTCCTGCAGTGGCAGCAGTTATGTCTTCTAATTTGGAAGACAGCTATAAAAGCCTTTATAAAGGCTTTTAAAGGAAGTATTTTTTTTTAATTTTTCAATCTTTCTATGGATATAGATTAAAGTTTTATCACCAACTTATTCTTTCATATTCACATAGTTGCACTTATTACAGTACAAAACAATATTATAATAAGTTATATTGACTATTCTGATGAGATGAGTCATTCATCCCTGCTTTGCAGAGAGGTGACCTAAAGCTGAGAAAGGCTGGGTACATGTGAAAAGCCTCACAGCTGGGAAGTATTAGAGCTGGAATACAAGTCAGTTGTGATGTCAAATTTCATGTAGATATTACAATTTTAAAAAGCTGTTTTTATTTGTTTCAGCTGAACAAAATTCAACTACGAACCACAACATTGTGTATAGCCTATATTAAAAAGAAATAATATAATAGCTATGTGAAAAACATCTGTTAAAGTGAATATAATTTCCTAATGTTGATAATTATGGTCATATCTGGCCCATTTAGCATGCTGACCTATTTGTGTCTATAGGCAAACAAAAGCCCAGCCTTTCGACTCATTCCCAGTCACCAACTTTTTCCTTTTTTCTCAAGGATTTGTATGTGAGCCTTTCCAAGACAGTGCACTGATAATGCCCAGTGATGGTTACTTTATTTCACTGTCGTTGTTTTTAAGAGGTGATGTTAAACATGTTTTCTTCTTGCACTGAAACTGATTCCCTATTATTATTTGTTAGAATACCCTAAGGAACCCCTTTGTGCAAGTTTTTATAAAATTCTCCGTGGGACTTGACGCCGTTGAACTGTTGAAACAGATAGATGAACTCGGTGAGTCCAGATTCACAAAATTTTACTCACTATTCATATCAGAAAATCATTGTTCCACATGATAACTTCTTTTCCTTTCCTTCTGTATTTAGTTTCTAGCTAGTTTTCCAAAGAAAAGTGAGACCCTGGACATATCCATCCATCTTCTTTCCAGATAGTTGTGCAATTATAAGTAGAAATGATTGTTTGGATGCTCAATGTCTGCAGTTAGTTTCAATAATTATAATGCAATACACTCCATGTAAATGCAGTTTTTCTTCAATCTTAGGCAGGTTGTTGGAAGTAGAGGAGTGCCTTTTTTTAGAAACTTGATGAAAATCAAATCCTGAAGGACAAAGGAAAATAAAATGATTTATTTCTGGTTACATTCAATATTTTTATCTTCACTGGCCTCAGTATCACTTGACTAACCCAGAATGCAATGGGAAGAGGTTATAGAGTTAGCAAAAGCAAGACAAAGGCCATGAGAGACTCAAAAGAAAATAAAATCAGTATTCAAGGTTGGGTCCTCCTCACGTGGTCATTTAAAAGGGACAGGCTGCAGAGGATCAAAGGAAGCTGTCTGAACTTGTGCATTCCCTCTGCCACTTCCGCACCTTCAACCTAATGGATGCAAGGCATCTAATTCAGGCTGCGTCTGATTCACTGTTGCTATGCAACCACTGGTATGAGAAATGGATTGAGAGCATCAGAATTTGGCGATAGCAAAGTAAATGCCCCTCCTCCTCCCCGGCATTGCTGGGACATAAATGATTAAGATTGTAAACCACTGGGGTGGAATTATGCCTACAATTGTACGTATATTACGATAGTCAACCCAGTTTGATTAAAGAAAGGTATTAGTGGGTTTATTCTCTAAAAGAATCATTTGGGTGAGGAACTATTTCATCAAAATATCAGGGATAAACTACAAAGTTCTTATATAAATTTTGTCATTCCTAACTTTTGAAGTAGGAGGTGAGGTGTAGAATTTAAAATAAGATTAATATGAACACAGCAGTGAGACTTGATGTTTGTATAATTAGATATGTAACTTAGTATCTAAGACGTTATATATTTCAAATTTGGGGGGCACGGCACCCCCAAAGCATTTCTGCGATTCAGTCTACCAGCATTGCTAAGGAATCCTGTGGAGCTGTGTTGATTTCCAGTGGCCGCTGGAGGCCACTGTTCAACCACGATTTACCCCTCCCCCACCATCTACATTGAGTAAAACATTTCACTTTAAATTCTAATGTGAAATGCATTTAAGAAGTTGCCCTCTGTGAGAAATTTAGTCTTATTTTGTGCCATGTAAGAGACATGTCTGGATTCTGTGAGGAGAGATTTATGGTATTCACAGGCTTCTCAGTATTCATGATGATCAAGACAGTCAAAATTTAATTGGCCAAATGATTTGTTAACTTGTAATTTCATATTTACCCTTTGTCCCAGTTGGTTTCCTGACAAGGAATCATGAAATTGAAGAGCAATGAAATCATCTTTCTTCCAGAGTAATTACCTAAAATAAAATCTTGGTCATTTTGTTTAGATTAATACAGATATCAAAAGAGATAACTCACATAAGGTTTTAAGTCAAACAATATTAGAAAGTTGCAACTGTGTGGCATTCTCAAGTACCTTAAATGTTTCTGTAGCACAGCCCATCGAATAATATTGTTTATTTGTGCTACATACTCTACATAGGCTTTCCCTTGTTTCAACTTGTACATTCACACTCCCTATACAAAGCAAGCACTTATTAGTTTCTTGCAAAATCTCATCTCTAGTTTATAGTTTTCTTTCTAACTATATGTATAGAGATTTTTTTAATTATTCATCTTTAATTCTTTGTTAATTAAATTGTAACGGAATATACTTTTATCTTGTATCTTTCTTTGAACTTGGGTTTACTGTATTTGTAACTAGCTCCTGTCCTCAATGAATATTTGCTTAACTGGACACATTTTCCTTGGTATAGAATACTAGATATTTTTAGAGTAAATTCTACAGCCTGCCATTATTTATAATCTAGTTTAATGTTTGATGTTAACCCCCTAAAAAAACAGTATTTTGTCTTAATACTATTAGAATCAAGATAATAATGTTTTTTGTCTCTTTTGCTTTGCTTCCTTAGACATTCTAAGGATGAAATTAGAGAACAACATTGACATCATAGATCAGCTTAACACACTGTCTTCCCTGACAGTAAATATTTCCTCTTGTGTATTATATGACCGTATTCAGGCTTCAAAAACCATAGATGAAATGGAGAGAGAGGCTAAAAGGCTCTACAAAAGGAACGAACTCTTTGGAAGTAAGTGCTATTCTATTAGGGTTTGACCTTCTCTTTGTACTAAAATTGGCCAAATTCTTCCCTCACCTCTTTCATCAGGAACTCAGAAAAGTAGTCTGGGGGTCACTGCCCCCTCTGATGTCTTTAGAATTGAGAACCTTTCATGTAGTCAACCAACTATATTATCTAAGTGTGTCTAATTTTGTTAGTGTAGTTCAAATTAAGAGTGAAAAGGATCACATAGTTACGGGGTGAAGTCGAGTCCAACCTCATTACCAGTCAAGATTATTCATTTAAAAGTGTTTCTTTTTTATTTTAATAAGTGGCTTAGAGTGATGTATTTGATCTGGCCACTTAGTTTGTGATTATGTTCTTAAACTCTAGCTTTCAATCTCTGAGGTTGACACCTCCAATTAACCATCTTTTCTGTAAATTAAGAGCCTGAACCTACTGTGACATCACTAACTCAGTTGACTGTTTGGCTGCCCCCAATGTGTACCCTCCAAACAATCAAAAACGTCAACCATAAAATAACCTTTCTGCTGTTGTTGCCATTTTATTTTTAGGCGTTATTTTTAAGCTTCCTTCTAACAGAAGCCGGCATGGAGGCTATGACTCTGAAAATATCTTTCTTCCTCCTGTCGTAAAATATACCATCCGCATGAGTCTCAAGACCGCACAGACCACAAGAAGCATAAGAAGCAAGATTTGGGCCCCAGGGCCACACAATTCTCCATCAAACAACCAGATCTATGGCAGGGCTTTTATTTATTTACAGGATAGTATTGAAAGAGCAATCATTGAATTGCAAACTGGAAGGAACTCACAGGAAATAGCAGTTCAGGTTCAAGCAATTCCTTATCCCTGCTTCATGAAAGACAAGTAAGTCTGCACTTTCAGCCCTTTTAATGCTTAACTACTTTTTTGAGAGCTCACTTCACTTCATTCATTCAGATGTATCAAGTGAAAGGGATAATATTCACCAAAGCTTTGCCGTATGCTTGTTTCCAGGAAAGGCTACACACTGTAGGCACAGCTCCCTCTTAGTTGCTCAACATTACTAAAATGATGGTGAAGTGCTTACCAAATGATCCATGTTTCCTTTCTCATGACTCTTACCTCTGCAAGAACTCTGGCCCCAGAATTGGGAGAATTGGGCTCTAGACCCCAGCACATTGCTGCATGACTTTCATATCACCCACTGTCCACTTGTCTTACCTTTCTCTCGTCAAATGAGGGAGATGAACAAGATAATCTTAAAATCCCTTCCAACTCTCCTAAATTTGATAAAAATATGAGCACAGGGTCAATTTTAAGGGGGAAAAAAGGATGAAAGAAATAGTAAACATGTTATTGATCAACTCTGTGAGATAAATATTGTGCTGTCTTAAATGGTCATGTACTATCCAATTCATTTGCTATGAATCTTCTCTATTAATAAAATGGTTTTGCTAAGTGAATTTAAAAAGGTAAAGATATGCTTTTAGACAACTGAGTTTGAATGTCCAAGACATCAGCCAATTGGGTAGCACTGAATGTCTCCTCTACTTTGTACGCACTTAAAAAGTAAGGTTGGGGGACTAAGTTTTCCAAGCTCACTCTCCTACATAAAATATTGAGGCTGAATATTACTTTAAAGAAATCAAACTTTCTTCTCAACATAGTTGTTTCAGTTTATGTACAATTCAGATGGCTCTGGCTTTTTCTTTCTTCTCTTTTTTCTTTCTCTCAATGCTTCTGTCTCCCTTGGCTACTTCAAGAGTTATAGATGAGATGAGGTCATGTAACCCTTTGTGCAACCATGATATGGGGAGAGAGATCAGGATTCCAGCAAGTGGGGTGTCAGGGTTAGCTGGCTATTGTAGAGGCCAGTCACAACTTTGCTGCCTGAACTACATGTGAACTGCAATGGCTTCCATGAATATTGAAGACCTATGGGTTCAATTAAATTAAAATGCTCATTGATTTATCTGCTCATTTTTTTACCCTTGTGAATTTTGGTACCTAGGATAGTGGGTACCTGGAAGTTTCTTTAAAGAATAAAAGTAACTACCCTCTTTATGGGAGTATGATCATAATGTCTTATATACACATATAAACTCTTTCTTGCATACAAAGTACTTTCATGTATATTATTACTATTTCATTTATTTCACCCCAAAGCCTCATAAGGTAAGTGGGAGCAGGAATTATTATCCATAGTTTCCAGATGAAAAAACTGAAATCCAGAAAGGTTAAGTAACTTGCCCAAGTTTATATAGCTCCTTCCTATTACAAGACCAGTGATTTCTCCTGTATACTACACCAAACCTGCAAAACACAATCATTTGGAAGAAACATTACAGGGAATTTATCATTGATGAATGAGGGCCTTGCTTAATTCTGGATCCAGAAACAGCATCAAGGCTGGACCTGGACCTAAACAAAATTCATTTGATAAGTAATCTTTAAGCACTTATTCCATGCCAGACAGTTTCCCAGGAAGCAAAAAAAACTGGATATGGCCCCAACTCCCCCTACTCCCCCACCCCAAAACACCTCATCTCTCTGATGACCATACACTTCTGCATGCTAGAGTGATATTGAATGGAGTGATGTCATGTTCCATAAATACTCTTATTTTTCTTGGGATACTTGAAGATAATTCTTTAGCTTTATAGAATAGAAAGGAAATGACCTTGGGACCTTTCTCCAAGTGAAAGCTTCTGTGAAGCCCAATATGCAAAACAGATCAATTTAGAAAACTACTTCCTTAGCCTCAGTCCATAGAAGAGGAGCAATTGTCAGAACAGTGGCTGTTAAAATATGCGTGTCAGCATCACCTGGGAAGTTGTTTAAAATGCAAATTCCTGGCCCCATCCCAGAGATAGTAAATCAGAAGCTTATGGATGAGGCCCAGAAGTTTGTGTTTTAACAAACTCTTCAGGTGCTTCTAATGCAGTCAACTTCGAGAACGCCTGCATTTGGACTTTCAGGTGCCATGGATAGGACACTGGGGAATGCATCTGGGGCTTGATGAGGTCTTCCAGTAACCCTCTATTTTAGCATATCATCAGAAAAGACATTTCTATACCATTTATGAAACATCTCCCAGAGTATTACTTCGAGGAATCCAAGTTCTTTGTCCACATT